TTCACACCAGGAACGCAGGGATGGTTCAACATTAGAAAATCAATTAATATAATCTGTCACATAAATAAAGCAAAAGATAAGAACCACATGATCTTATCAATCAATGCAAAAAAGGCATTTGACAAAGTCCAACACCATTCCTGATAAAAACTCTCAGAAAAATAGGAATAGAAGGGAAATTCCTCAGCTTAATAAGGGGTATTTATACAAAGCCAATAGCCAACATCATCCTAAATGGAGAGAGACTAAAAGCATTCCCCTTGAGAATGGCAACCAGACAAGCATGCCCTTTATCACCACTCTTATTCAACATTGTACTGGCGGTCCTAGCCAGAGCAATAAGGCAAGAAAAAGAAATAAAGGGCATCAAAATTGGTAACGAAGAAGTAAAAGTATCTCTATTTGCAGATGATGTGATCTTATACATAGAAAACCCCAAAGAATCCACAAGAAAACTACTGGAAATAGTAGAAGATTTCAGCATAGTATCAGGATACAAGATAAACATAAAAAATCAGTTGGATTCCTCTACACCAACAAAGAGAACTTCAAAAAGGATATCACCAAACCAAAAGCCTTTACAATAGCCCCCAAGAAAATAAAGTACTTAAGAATAAATCTAACCATAGACATAAAAGACCTATACAAAGAAAACAACAAAACACTCCTGCAAGAAACCAAAAGAGACCTACATAAGGGGAAAAACATACCATGCTCATGGATAGGAAGACTCAACATTATGAAAATGTTGATTCTACCCAAAGCGATCTACAGATACAATGCAATCCTGATCCAAATTCCAACAGCGTTTTTTAATGAGATGGAGAATAACATCACCAACTTTATATGGAAAGGGAAGAGGCCTCGGATAAGTAAAGCATTACTGAAGAAGAAGAACCAAGTGGGAGGCCTCACACCACCTGATTTTACAACCTATGATACTACCACAGTAGTCAAAACAGCCTGGTACTGGTACAACAACAGATACATAGACCAGTGGAATAGAACTGAGAACCCAGACATAAATCCATTCACCTATGAGCAGCAGATGTTTGACAAAGGCCCAAAGTCTGTTAAATGCAGAAAAGACAGGCTGTTTAACAAATGGTCTATATCCATCTGTCAACAAATCAAACAGGACCCACACCTCACACCATATACAAAAACTAACTCAAAATGGATCAAAGATCTAAATACAAAATCTAAAATGATAAAGATCATGGAAAAAAAATAGGGACAACACTAGGGGCCCTAATACATGGCATAAATAATATACAAACCACAAGTAACAATGCACAAACACCAGAAGGGAAACTAGATAACTGGGAGCTCCTAAAAATCAAACACTTATGCTCATCAAAAGACTTCACCAAAAGAGTAAAAAGACAATCTACAGACTGGGAAAAAATTTTTTGCTACGACACATCCAATAAGGGTCTAATCTCTAAAATCTACAAGATGCTGCAACACCTCAACAACAAAAAGACAGATAATCAAGTTTAAAAAATGGGCAAATGATACGAACAGGCACTTCACCAAAGCAGACATCAGGTGGCTAAAAGACACGAGGAAATGCTCACAATCATTAGCCATTAGAGAAATGCAAATCAAAACCACTTTGAGATACCATCTCACCCCAACAAGGCTGGCACTAATCCAAAAAACACAAAATAACAAATGTTGGTGAGATTGTGGAGAAATTGGAATTCTTATGCACTGCTAGTGGTAATGTAAAATGGTACAATCACTTTGGAAAATGATATGGAACTTCCTTAAAAAGCTAGAAATAGAAGTACTATATGATCCAAAATTTCCACTCCTAGAAAAATACCTGAGAGAAATAAGAGTAATCACAAGAATAAATATGCACACCCATGTTCGTTGCAGCACTATTCACAATAGCAAAAACATGGAAACAACCTAAAGGCCCATCAACAGACAAACGGATAAACAAACTATGGTACATACACACAATGTAATACTATGCAACTATAAAGAACAACGATGAATCCACAAAACATCTCACAACATGGATGAATCTGGAGGGCATTATGCTGAGTGAAATAAGTCAGTCACAAAAGGACAAATATTATATGAGATCGCTATTGTAAGAACTCAAGAAAAGGTTTAAACACAGAAAAAAGCATTCTTTGATGGTTACAAGAGTGGGGAGTGAGGGGAAGGGAAAAAATCACTAACTAGATAGTAGACAAGGACCAACTTCAGTGAAGGGAAGGACAACATACAATACAGGGGAAGTCAGCACAACTGTACCAAAGCAAAAGCTAAGAAGTTTCCTGGACACATCAAAACACTTTGAGGGACAGAGTAACTGGGGCTGGAGCCTGGGGACCATAGTTTCGGGGGACATCTAGGTCAACTGGTATAACATAGTTTATAAAGAAAATGTTCTACATCCCACATTGGTGAGTGGCATCTGGGGTCTTAAAAGCATGCAAGTGGCCATCTGAGATACATCAATTGGTCCCATTCCACTTGGAGCAAGGGAGAATGAAGAAAACCAAAGACACAAGGAAAATACTAGCCCAAAGGACTAAAGGATCAAATGAACCAGAGACTCTACCAGCCTGAGACCAGAAGAACTAGATGGTACCCAGCTACCACCAATGACCACCCTGATAAGGAACACAACAGAGAGTCCCAGACAGAGCAGGATAAAAATGTAATACACAACTCAAATGCACATAAAAAGACCAGACTTAATGGTCTGACAGAGACTGGAGGATCCCCTGAAACTAAGGCCCCCAGATGCACTGTTAACCCAGAACTGAAACCATTCCTGAAGCCCACTCTTCAGACAAAGATCAGATAGGACTACAAAACAAAAAATAATACACGTGAGGAATGTGCTTCTTAGTTCAATCAGATATATGAGACAAAATGGGCAGCTCCTGTCTGGAGGCAGGATGAGAAGGCAGGAAAGGACAAAACTGGTCAAATGGACACAGGGAACTCAGGGTGGAAAGGGGGAGTGTGCTGTCACATTGTGGGGATTGCAACTAATGTCACAAAATATTATGTGTATAAATTTTTTGAATGAGAAATTAACTTGAGCTGTAAACTTTCACCTAAAGCATAATAAACAATATATATATATATATGTATATATATTACCCAGTCCTGAGAACCTACAAATTCTATGTCAGCCAAGTAAATGAGGGTGAACCAGGGTGTGTGTTAAAGAAACAGGACAGACTTTATTCCTGTGCCAAGCCATTAGAGTTACATGAGACTGACTGTTTTTAGCAAACAGTTTGCAGTCGACTACAAACCTAAAGATTGGCGAACCCACTCAGCAGCATCATAGAATAAAGGCCTGACACTCTGCTTCTGCAAGTATTACAGCCAAGAAAACCCTACGGAGCAGTTCTACTCTGTAACACATGGGGTCACCGTGAGTCGGAATCAACTCAACAGCAACGAGTTTGGTTTTGGTTTAATCCGCCTAGAATCTATCCCTAGCTTCTAGCATTAAAATGAATCTGTGCATATGTGCAAGTTATGTGTCGGTACATTACTGCACCATGTGCAATTGGGGGCAGAAATGGATAAAGTGATACTCATGAGGAGTGTGCCTCTTAGCTCAAGTAGATACAAGCGACTACATGGGGAGCTTCTGTCCGGAGGTGAGATGGGAAGGCAGAGAGGGTTAGGAGCTGGTTGAATGGACATGGGGAATCCGGGGTGGAAAGGAGGAGTGTGCTGTCACAGTATGGGGAGAGCAATTAGAGTCACATAACAATGTATGTATAAATTTTTGTATGGGAAAAAATTAAAAAAAAAAAAAAGAATGGAAAAGGCAGTGCACTCCAAGAGTTAGGTCTTTGCAGTTGAAATCTCCCTTGATTCTCAGGAGCAGTGAAAATTACCTAAGCAAGTGACAAGGGAACAGAGGCAGGAAGGAGGCCTTCTGTAAGTGGATTTCCCTGGAAGTATCTGTTTTACATCTGTAGTACAAGAATTTTCAAAGAAATGGGATGTCACTTACTCAAAAAAGGTACGTTACTTTAGCCAGAAAAAGTATATATTTTAAATAAGTAATGCAATTACTTTTTGTAATTCTCTTTCATCTACCTCCCTTATTCTTCCCTTATGATTGGCAGAATCACAGGCACATGCAATCTTAGACTCACCTGACCTATCCTAGGTTTCCTGAACCTCTCAGAGCCTCAGTTGACTCACCTGTAAAATGGGAGACTTATACAGTGATGAAAGGGGGATTAAATGAAACAGTACTTATTCTCCTCTATAGAGAAGCCATGTTGTTGTTAGTTGCTATTGATTTTGATCCATGGTGACCCCACGTGTCCAGAGTAGAACTGCTCCATTGGGTTTTCAAGGCTGTGACCTTTCAGAAGCAGATCGCCAGGCCTGTCTTTCATGGTGCCTCTAGGTGAGTTCGAATCACCAACCTTTTGGCTAGTAGTCAAGCACTTAACAATCTGTGCCACCTAGGGAGCCCTAGAAGAGCCATAGAGGAAGCAAAAATGAAGGGAGTGATGAATAGACAATATGAAGGGTGATTCGACACAGGAGCTCCTGACAGATGGGCAGGAATGCCTTTCCCTCTACCATGAGTCTCCTCAGTATCTTGGCCAGGGCTGACTTTTCTTGGAGGTGGTGTTATATTGGGTAAAGGAAATAAGAAGTAATAGGACTAAAAACTACCTGGTCTGAGAGAGGGCTCATGTTGATTCCAAATCCCACGTCTTTGGAAAATCCTCAAGAAAAAGGAAATACATGAATTACACTATAATTATTGGTCCGTGAGCATGTTTTAAGTGATGTGTCTTAATTATTTTATATTTTAGAAATCAAATTTATTTTTCAGCAACCATATTCGGTTTTCTAAACGGTGACCTCTAAAACATTTTAAAAACACTGGGGACTGAAAAGACTGGATGCTCTGATCATGTGTAGTCCCTAGGCACAAGGCTCTGAGTTCTATATGAAACCTTGCTCTGTTTACCTCCCCTTAGGTGACAGCCAGGTGACCAAGGCAGTGAAGGAAATGGCAGTGCTGTCCTGTGATTACAACATTCCCACACAGCAACTGATGAATTTTCGAATCTACTGGCAAAAGAATAATGAAGTGGTGCTGACTATCATATCTGGGAACATATCGGTGTGGCCCAAGTACAAGAACCGAACCATCGTGGACATCGCCAATAACCTCTCTATTGTCATCCTGGCTCTGCGCCTGTCGGACAAGGGCACATATACCTGCATCGTTCAGAAGACTGATAATGGCGTTTACAGGCGGGAACATCTAGCTTTGGTGAAGTTATCCATCAGAGGTTGGTGAGGTGTTCTTGATTTACTCTAGGTTGGCAGACTCTTAATGCCCTTAAAGACATGCTCCCATTGAGTTGGGTTGAAATTTTACCAAACAGTAATGTATCTCATTTCCTAGGGTAAGTAAGACTCTAATTTTACAATAAGCCCAGATTTCTCAAAATGCCCTGGAAGTATCTGTTATTGCACATTTCTTGTACTTTGACAGTCCAAGTCCACAATGATCATTCTGAGGTCTACAATGCCCTGAAGTGCCTTCTGAATCATAAGGACACAATTGACTTGATGCAGCTGTACTATTAACTGCATGATCTAGTAATATATTCCTGTGAAAGTAGGTTGAAAGTTGTAAGACCAACCAGGCATAAATATTTCCCAATACTTTTTGACTGTCTTTATTACTATGGATTCTGTATTATTATATTCTGATATTTTCAAATTGATAATTTACTTTTTGTATATTTGCAGCTTTCACCTAACAGTCATTCCTGGCTAAGTTAGACGTTAGAGAATTGGCTGCATAATTTATGCCTGCCGCAGGGAAGAAAACAGATTCATGAATCAAAGCCCTGTTTGGGCAAGCCTTTCTAATCATGGGTAGGAAGGATATTTGACCTTTTTTGATCTATAGCCGACCTCATAGGGTTGCTGTGAAGATGAAATGAGGTAATATCTAAGTCTAACAAATAGCAAGAGCTCAATAAATGTTATCTATTATTTTTCTCTCTGTGCTTACATATGCAAGTATATGCCAACATTTATTCTCATGAACCTACTTCTTCACCTTTCTGTAAAAGGTGCCCTCTTACCTCCATCAAAAGTGGGGAGGAATTTGTATAACCAATTTACATTAGTCTTTGTATCGTACGTAAGTATTAACGAGAAAAAACAGCTGCAAACATCCATTAATAATCAGAATGTGGAATGTACGAAGGAAAATTGCAAGTTGTCAAAAATAAAATGAAACACTTGAAGATCAATATCCTAGGTATTAGTCAGCTGAAAAGGACTGGTATTGGCCATTTTGAATCAAACAATCATATGGTCTACTATATCAGAAATGACAAAATGAAGATGAATGGCGTCACATTAATTGTCGGAAAGAACATTTCAAAATCTATTCTGAAGTACAGCACTGTCAGTGATAGGATAATATCCATATGCCTACAAGGAAGACCACTTAATATGATTACTATTCAAATTTTCACACCAACCACTAATGCCAAAGATGAAGAAACTGAAGATTTTTACCAACTTCTGCAGTCTGAAATTGATTAAACATGCAATCAAGAAGCACTATTACCATATTTTTACGCAAATAATGTGTGCCTTCTACACTTGTTTGCCAACCGCGCCCTCCCACTGTGAGGTATTTTTGTAAGCGCCACTATGTCATTTCTTTCACACATTGGTGTAAAAAAAATTAGCATAGCATGCTTACGAAAATACCTTGAAAGGGGAGGGCATGGTTGGCAAACAAATACAGAAGGCATGCATTATTTGCATAAAAATACAGTATTAGTGATTGGAATGTGAAAGTTGGAAACAAAGAAGAAGGATCAGTAGATGAAAAACAGGGCCTTGGTGATAGAAATGACATGGGAGATTGCATGATAGAATTTGCAAGACCAATGACTTATTCATTGGAAATACCATTTTTTGATAACATAAATGGTGACTATACATGTAGACCTCACTGGACGGAATACACAGGAATCAAATTGACTAAATCTATGGATGATGGAGAAGCTCAATACACCCACTCCTCACTTATCAACTACCTCATTATCCAACATTTCACATTTACGACAACAGTAAAAAATCTACTATCCAATTCTTCTGTGCATTAAAACTGCACGTCTGGCAGTAACAAATGTTGAGGTGCAAGGTGAGAGTAATGCTGGCTGGGATGGTTATGTGTCAACTTGGCTGGGCCATGATTCTCAGTGGTTTGGTTGTTATATAATGATGGAATTTGGCAGTTATGTAACGATATAATTTGGAAGTTATGTAATGATGTAGTCATCTTCCATTTTGTGATCTGATGTGGTCATTCCCTATTTCCTCATAAGGCTGATTTTCACATAACGACCTGATCTTTGGAAACTAACCACGTTGATAAGTGAAGAGTGGGTATATCATCAGTCAGAACAAGGCCAGGGGACAACTGTGGAACAGACCATCAGTTGCTCACATGCAAGTTCAATTTGAAGCGAAGAAAATTAAAACACTCCCATGAGAGCCAACGTATGACTTCGAGTATATTTCACCTGAATTTAGAGACCATCTCAAGAATAGATTTGATACATTTAATACTAATGACAGAAGACTAGATGAGCTGTGGGATGACATTAAGGACATCATACATAAAGAAAGCAAAAGGTCATTAAAAAGACAGGAAAGAAAAAAAGGACCAAAATAAATGTCAGAAGAGACTCTGAAACTTGCTCTTTAACTTAGAGTAGCTAAGCAAAAGGGAGAAATGATGACGTAAAAGAACTGAACAAAAGATTTCAAACGGCAGGTTAAGAAGACAAAGTAAAGTATTATAACGAAATGTGCAAAGACCTGGGGTTAGAAAACCAAAAGGGAAGAATATGCTCAGCATTTCTAAAGCCGAAAGAACTGAAGAATAAATTCAAGCCTCGAGTTGCAATACTGAAGGATTCTACGGGCAAAATACTGAACGACGCAGGAAGCATCAAAAGAAGATGGAAGGAATACACAGAGTCACCATACTAAAAAGAATTGGTCACTGTTCAACCATTTTAGGAGGAAATATATGATCAAGAACTGATGGTACTGAAAAAAGAAGTCCACGCTGCACTGAAGGCATCGGTGAAAAACAAAGCTTCAGGAATTGATATAATACCAATTGAGATGTTTCAACAAATGGATGAAACACTGGAATCGTTCACTCATATATGCTAAGAAATGTGGAAGAGAGCTACCTGGCTAACTGGCTGCAAGAGATCCATATATGTGCCTATACCAAAGAAAGGTGATCCAACAGAATGTGGATATTATCGAACAATATCATTGATATCACAAGCAAGTAAAAGTATGCTGAAGATATTTACAAAATGGTTGCAGCAGTACATCAACAGGTAACTGCCAGAAATTCAAGCCAGATCAGAAGAGGACATGGAACAAGGGATATCACTGCTGATGTCAGACAGATTTTGGCTGAAAGCAGAGAAAGATGTTTACCTGTGTTTTTTGACTATGAAAAGGCATTTGACTGTGTGGATCATAACAAACTATGGATAACATTGCGAAGAATGGGAATTCCAGAAAACTCAACTGTGCTCATGTGGAACCTGCACATAGACCAAGCAGCAGTCATTCAAACAGAACAAGGAACAAGGGGCTACTGCATGGTTTAAAATCATAAAAGGTGTGTGTCAGAATTGTATCCTTTCACCATACTTATTCAATCTGTACGCTGAGCAAATAATCCAAGAAGTTGGACTATATGAAGAATGTGGCATCAGGAGTGGAAGGACTCATTAACAACCTGCATTATACAGATGACATAACCTTGCTTACTGAAAGTGAAGAGGACTTGAAGCACTTACTGAAGAAGATCAGAGACTACAGCCTTCGGTATTATTACGCCTCAACATAAAGAAAACAAAAATTCTCACAACTGGATGAATAAGCAACATTATGATAAGCAGAGAAAATACTGAAGTTGTCAAAGATTTCATTTTACTTGGATCCACAATCAACACCCTTGGAAGCAGCAGTCATTTGACTATTGCATTGGGCAAATCTGCTGCAAAAGACCTCTTTAAAATGTTAAAAAGCAAAGATGTCACCTTGAGTACTGTCATGGATCAAATTGTGTCCCCCCAAAAATATGTGTCAACTTAGGTAGGCCATGCTTCACAGTATTGTCTGATTACCCTCCATTTTGTGATATGTTGTAAATCCTAACCTCTGCCCAGCAATGAGGCAGGAATAGGTATGTTAAAGAGGATTAGGTTATGTTGGTTATGCTAATGAGGCAGGATTAGGGTGGGATGCATCAGCCTTACTTAAGTCACCAACCTTACTCAGGTCACGGCCCTGATTTGGTGTAAGGGGAGTTTCCCTGGGATGTGGCCTGCATCACCTTTTATCTTACAAAAGATAAAAGGAGAGAGAATCAGGCAGAGAGGGAGGGATCTCCTGCCACCAAGAAAGAGGAGTCTGGAGAGTATGTGGTATCCTGAGCTGAGAACCTCCTAGACCAGGGGAAAATTGATGCCAAGACACGTGGAGATCTCCAATGAATGCCAGGCCCACAGATATCGAAAGGAGAAAAGGACTCTACCCCAGAGACGACAGAGACAGAAAGTCTGTCCCTAGACCTGGCACCCTGAATTTGGACTTCTAGGCTCCTAAACTGTGAGAAAATAAATTTGTTTGTTAAGGCCATCGACTTGTGGTATTTCTGTTATAGCAGCACTAGATAGCTAAGATAAGGACTAAGGTGTGCCTGACCCAAGCCATGATATTTTCAATCACCTCATATGCATGCAAAAGCTGGACAATGAGTAAGACCAAAGAAAAAATGATGAATTTGAATTATGATGTTGGTGAAGAATATTGAATATACCATGCACTACCAGAAGAACGAACAAATTTGTCTTGTAAGAAGTACAGCCAGAATGCTCTTCAGAAGGGACGATGGCAAGACTCCGTCTCATGTACTTTGGACATGTTATCAAGAGGGACCAGTCCCTGGAGAAGGACATCATGCTTAGTAAAGCAAAAGGGTGAGCAACAAGAGGAAGACACTCAATGAGATGGACTGACACAGTGGCTGCAACAGTGGAATCAAACATAGCAACAATTGTGAGGATGGCACAGGACCAGGCAATGTTTTGTTCTGTTGTATACAGGGTTGCTATGAGTCAGAACTGACTTGACAGTACCTAACAACAACACCACTAATGATTTATAGGAAACTGCAAATTATATCTTATTTTATCATTCTTATTAAAATTAGATAATTTATTACAAATATGAACCCAAACATGTGTGTCTTTGTATGTGTGCACACCCACTCCTTACTTATTGACGTGGTTAGAGTCCAAAGACCAGGTCATTATGTGAAAATGGAGGATGACCACATCAGATCACAAAACAGGATGATTACATCATTATATAACTGCCAAATCACATCATTATATAACTGCCAAACCACTGAGAATCATGGCCCAGCCAAGTTGACACAAAACCTTAACCACCACAGCCAGCATTACTCTTGCTTTGCATCTTGGCATTCATTACTGCCAGACATACATTGTTAATGCACAAAATAGTTGCATGGCATTTTTTTGTTATTGTCATAAATGTGAAATGTCGGATAATGAGACAGTTAATAAGTGAGGAGTAGGTGTGTATACATACACACAGATACACAAGTATATGTTCTAATATCCTTGTTCTTTCTTCAGTAGACTTCCATGATCCTATTATAACTGACTTGGGAAACCCATCTGCTGACATTAAAAAGATACTCTGTTCAACCTCTGGAGGTTTTCCAGAGCCTCGCCTCTCCTGGTTGGAAAATGGAGAACAATTAAATGTGATCAACCTTACAGTTTCCCAAGATCCTGAAACTGAACTCTACAATATCAGCAGTGAACTTCATTTCAATCTGACAAGAAACCATACCTTCGTTTGTCTTATCAAGTATGGAGATCAACAAGTGTCACAGACCTTCCCCTGGATAATATGTAAGTAACATTGTTTTGGGAGGTTTCTATTGTATAGAATCTAAGAAGAAACTAACTTAGGCAGATACATTTTAGAATTGTGTGCATTGACTTTGATAGCATTCTTAGACACAAAAATAAAATGATAATAAAGTGCTGCTGTGACTTATTACGGTCACTGAACAAAGATGTGGCTATATTACTAATTTTATTAGAGGCACAGAATGGGTATCAGGCAGTGGGAAACACATTAGAGCTGACACTATTCTTTTTCACTCCACAGCCAAGCCTTCTCCTCTTGTTGATCCGTTCCCACTCTGGGTCACTATCCTCATCACAATAATTGGGATTTGTGGGATGACTGTATTAATCACATGCTGCTGGAACCACAGTAAGTACTATTGTACTATCATCACAACCTCAATTTCTGGAAGCGCAAACTCTATCAGTACAGTTCAGCCTCTCTCTGAGGTTTTAGCCTATTCTGTTCTCCTGTTTGAAACAAAGTCTATGGAAACTTTAGTGTCTCCCTTTACTAGTCTCAGCAGGTTGTGTTCATTCACTGAACAAACCTTTCTTTCATATCTGCTATGTGCCTGGCCCTCTACTAGCCACTGAAGTCGCAAAGATGGGAAGTCACTGCCTTCAAGACACATTCTAGTTTCGTCCATTTATTTTCCCCTAGCTGTATAACATTTTCCTGGAGACACAGAGGCTTGCTAACTGATCTGAAGACATTTCTGAAGCTAAGTGATATTCTAACCTTTGATTTGGAGTTGGAGGAAACATAGAATGACAAAATTTGGAGAGCAAGAATGATTTTCTTTGAGGGGAGTAAGATGTACTGATGAAGTTGAGAAACTACATGGTTTTCTCATTTCTTCAGAATACCTTTTTTGAATGAGAGATCAGGAGTGGTTGAGGAAAGGAGAGATTTCTAGGATGTTTTTCCTTAAGAATTTAAATTTGTGGTCTTAGACATATGCTACCTTCAATCTCTACAACTAAAGCAGAAGAGGAATTGCTAGGTCAGAGGTAAGGGCCAAAATCACTGTGAGGGTGCACCAACCCTTCTTAGACTAGAAATCACGTACACTGAGCAAATGAAAATGGAAGACCAACATCTGTAATTCCTCAACCTTCAGCCCCCAAAAAAGGGCAAAGATCAGTGAAGTCACTAGAGATGCTTTGCTGTGAACAATTCACTCCTGTGGTAGCATGAAGGGGTCTGGTGGTCTTAAAGATGTTTCCAATGCAGACTGTCCAGCCTTAACCCTCTAGTTCGGGGTTGGTCAACCTTAGCACTATTGACATTTTGAGCAGATTAAGTCTTTATTTTAGGGGGCTGTTTGGTGCATTGTAGGATGTTTAGCAACATCCTCAGCCTCTATCCACTGGATGCCTATACACCCAGCCCCAGTTGTGACAACTGAAAATGTCTCCAGATATTGTTAAATGTTCCCTGGGGGGAAATCACCCCGAGTTGAACCACTGCTCTATTTCTAAGCCAGTCTGAAGGCTTACTGAAATAATGGGTATGATTTAAGGGAAACTCACCTATCATTTTTATTTTAGCTCGTGCTTATCTCCAAGGACCTGCCGCAAGCTCTAGAGGGAACATCTAAAGGTAGCCTCCTCCACCTTCTTCTCTACCAATGTGAAAGATACATGGGATCATGAGGAAGATGAGGCACAATCTTCTCTTCCTTTCAGTACCAAACTTAAAACTTTGACCTGCTACCCCACCTTCTCAAAACCTTATTCAGATGCTTGCCATTCCTCTCCTTTCTCCTCACATACAATTTGCTTTGCAATCTCTTCCTTTGCTGTGCCATTCTGCCATCTTGAAATGTTCTCCTCTTGTCAGCCAGTTCAGTGTCTTTCATTATCCATAAAACACTACTCTGAGTTCATCTTGAAGTAATCTGCCCAGGCTAACTCCTTATCCAATCATTTCTTTTTCCATGTATCCCCCAGGACTGATGGAGACAGATTATGGTCACTTATGGGTCACTTTGTACTAACACCATAACATCCTCCTCAGTCTCTACACCTCCTGCCCACAGTCATCCCACCGACCCAAGCACAGAGCCAAATTTCATCAAGTATTACTTTTGTGATGTCATTTTCCCACTCAAAAACTCAGAAGGGACTCTAGTACCTATAGAACATTTTTTAAAATGTAACTTTCCACATTCCAGCTCATCTCTTCCGTCTAAACATCCTCAGTTCTTTAACTATTCTTCAAATGGCCTGGTTTCCAGATGTCATGTATGAACACACTAGATGTCAATAAATTGGAGTGTAAGATTTAGATTTTGACCAGTCTAGCAAACAATGGGATAACTACTTCCTGGGATCTAGAATGTTCTTTCTGTTTATCAGCCTAACATAACATTAGCTTTTGTCATAGCCACACTGTTAACTTGTATCAACTTTGTGTTCTCTGAAAATTGCCAGGTGTTTTCAGGTAAGAGAAGCATTGAAACACTGGAATCCATGAAACTGATGCCAGGTCCAGGGTGGTTATAGCTTCCATAAAGGGTTCAGTTTTGACTTTTGAAGGTTGGGATGACACCAGCACAGGGGATGAGCATCAGCAGAGGTGCCTTTAAATATAAAGGAAAATGAAAAAATAACACCTAAGATTTACATAACAGTCTACGTTTTACAAAAGCATTATCTCATTTTAATCTTATAAAATATCTACGAGCAAGATCTATCTCCGTTTTATAGGAGAGAAACCTGAGGCTCCCAGAGGTTGAGTGATCTGCTTGAGGTCATGCAGATAAGGAGTAAAACCAGGACTCAAACCAGACATCAAGCTCAGGGCACCCACTCACTACACCATAGCAGCCTATACGTATTTTCCCCAAAACAATCTCCCAACTTCCTGTCCTGTGCTTTCTTCATTTCAACTTATTACTCACTCCTCAGGATTCCCTTTCCAGGATGTCTCCCTCAGTTCTGTGATTACCTAGAATTTCCCTGATTTTCCCTCTATCTTAAAATTCTTCTGCTCATTCTGCTGATACTACACAATGAAGCCAAGTCTCCAGCCTTCTACATGAAGCTTCTGTGGCCATCTTGCGCAGTTCAGGCAGTTCGACCTCTGAGCTTCAGCAGCATATGCTATCTCTAGCACATCACATACCACCCTGAGTTTATTTTCATGTGTCATGTCTTATATCCTTTACCAGATGGTAGGCTTATTGAGAAGAGCAACCATTCTTGTTTGTCCTACGCGTGTAGAAGAATGCCTTAATAACGTTTGATTATTTTTTGAGAAGAGATGCTTAATAAACATCTGTTTGATAGAGATTTCATCTAGTAAAAGCTATCCAGTTAGTTCCAAGTTCTTCCATAATTTAAAAACCAAAAAAAAACCCACTGCCACTGAGACGATTCTGACTCTAGTGACCCTGTAGGACAGAGTAGAACTGCCCCCATAGGGTTTCCAAGGCTGTAATCTTTATGTAAACAAACTGCCACATCTTTCTCTCACGGAGTGGGCTGGTGGGTTCGAACCACCAACCTTTCAGTTAGCAGCCAAGCACTTAACCACTGTGCCACCAGGGCTCCTTCTCAGTCAGAATCGACTCAACTGCAATGGGATTTTATATTCTTTAGTCATCAAGATTAACATCTACAATGTTACCTCAAGGTGGGGATACCCTTGGTCTTGAAATACAAAATATCAATTTTTTAAATGTTAGTCCTCCCTTGTGAATTTAGGGTTTGAAGTACTTGTTTGCTTCCTCAGGTCCCACCTGCATCCATGACTGACCTCTTCTTGGAGCTTCCCCAGATGGCAGGATCGCCCCACCTTGTCCTTCACATATCTGTTCTTTAGAAGCCTTTTCACTTCAGTGGTATTTCAGGAAGTAACTAAAGGAGTATGGGAGGAACTGTAGTAGCTCTGGAAGCCTTGATCAGTAGGTTTACGAATACAGTTACTCAGTCCTGGAAGGGACATTAGAGGATAGTAGTCTCATCAATGACAAGGACACCAAGGCTTAGGGAGGTGACCTGACTTGTGAAGGCTAGAGTCCGAGTCAGAACCCAGATCTCCTGGCTCTGGTGTTCTTTCCCTTCACCGATCCAACTCTGGGCTGTTAAGTCTGATGCGTGTGTGTGTATATATGCATACTGTTATTGGGTGCCGACTCCTAGTGACCCCACGTGACAGAGTATAACTGCCCCATATGGTTTTCAAGGCTGTAATCTTTATGGGACCAGATCACCAGGTCTTCTCCTGGAAAGCCACTGGTTGAGTTTGAACCACCAACCTTTCTGCGTGCTTCTGGAAACAGAATTTGTCCAATATCAGGTCAACTTTAGAGACTTGATCTGATTTCCTGATGCAATACTGGAGAAACATTTTATGTTGCTATTAAAAGGAGTCTAATGCATGGGAAGTGTACACCTATATCAAGAGGATAATGGAATATTATTGGCAACTAGCCAATATTTCATTTTTCATTGTGTTCCCCTTTTTGTTCTCCCACTTCTCCATCGGGTTCATAAGTAGAACTATCCAAAACTAGTTTCCTCTGACCTGTAAGGTAAACAACTTACATATGCATCTCAAAGTAAGAGGTTGGAGAGGGACAGTTTGGTTTAAAGATTTGCACTCTACTGGTTCATATTGGACTGATAATCTCTTTGAATAGCTTTATGCTAGTTTATACTTATTTGTAAAATATTTTTATGAGAAAGTTCTCATTTAAAATGAGACTGTTTTTACCGTGTATGTACTAAGCAGTAAACTACTGTTATGGATTCAATAGTGTCCCCCCAAAATATATGTTGTAATTCTTAACTTCTACGCCACTGGTTATAATCCCATTGGGGAATGGGTTGCCTTTGTTCTGTTAATGAGGCAGGATTAGTGTAGGGTGTATCTTGAGTCAATCTCTTTTGAGATATAAAAGATTAAATAAGCAAGCTAAGAAGCAGAGATGGGGAAGAGACATGCCAAGCCATATGAAGACTGTCCAGGAGCAGAAGCTCAGAAGAGTCAAGGACCTTCTTCCAGAGTCAACAGAGAGAAAATCTTCCCCTAGAGCCGGCACCCTGAATTTGGACTTCTAGCCTCCTAAACTGTGAGAGAATAAATTTCTGTTTGTTAAAGCCATCCACTTGTGGTATTTCTGTTATAGCAGCATTAGATAACTAAGACAACACTCTTTAGAGAAAACTGACAATAGGATTCCATACGGCTTCCTTAGATTCCTAAAGTGCTTTTCTGGATCCTTCTGACATCAGCAGAGAACTGAAAAAAAGTGGCCACCTGCTGTTCCTACAATGTTACTCATCGCTCCTCCCCCTCTGAAACTGCTATTCACACCTCACTGGACCAGGAGTTGATCTGACTTAAGCTGGGTCAATCAGACATTTTTATCCGAAAATTTAGAGTCGGACAGCAAGAGTTGACCAAGTTTCTCCAGTGTGGCTCAATTTAAAATGTTTAATTTTGGCAGCTGTAAGGGGCCAGATTCCACCATACAGTCTGAGGAGCAGAAACACGCTCTTGAATGGCTGCTCCCAGAACTAAACCACTGGAGACAATAACAGTGGGCTACTAAGACTACACAAAGAAACAAACGACGAAACAGGAACTGCTGCATCTCGTTAAATTCATGATCCTTAGACATGATCAAAAAAAGGCCTCGAGAAATAAGGAGCCACAAAAGAGGACAAACTTAAGGGACAGCTTAGTCACATCTCAAATTTTAGGCTGCTTATATGAAATTATGCTTATCATATTTGATAAATGTCTTAATACTACTTTTTCAAAAAGTTGTTTTACTTTCATTTTTCTGATAATCTGTTTTTATGATATGAATAGAACAACTTTGAAAAGTAACCATCTAATTTTATAATTTTTAGTTGAAGGATTTAGGCTACATATGGGTGTGAACAAATCAATGAACAGATACACTAATTGCTAATTTGTCAGCAATTTATGAACTGAATACTGTAATTCAGAAAAGCACACCTTTGGAGTGTGGTAGTAACGTGCAAATCATGGTGACAGTATCCCAGTGCAGAGGTTCTCAAATCCTTATAACCACCAACATTCATTAACTGTTTTCCTGTGTGCCAGGACGGTGCACTCAACGCTTTACATGCATCATTTCATTTAACACTCATTCTAAGGTAGATACTATTTCATTTCACAGGTGAGAAAACCGAGACTGAAAGTAAAATGGCTTTGCCATAGGCCCCTAGTCTGTCTCCAGAGCCCACGGTTTTAGCCACTACACTACACTGCTTCCCAAGTCTTGCTCCTGTAGAACGACAGTATTCTGAGTCGGAACAAAGGGCTCTGTCTTAGGCTGGGTTCTCTAGAGAAGCAAAACCAGTGCAGTGTATATATATAGAGAGAGAGAGATTTACATCAAGGAAATGGCTCACGCAGTTGTAGAAGCTGGAAAGTAAAGTCCCAAGTTCGTGGGTCAGGCTGGTGGTTTCTCCTGACTCACACAGCCGCAGGAGCTGGCAAACCCAAGATCGGAAGGTCAGACAGGAGGTCTCTGGCTCACAGGATGTGTAAGCTGATGAATCCCAAGATTAGCAGGTAAGATGGCAGGCAAGCTGCTAGCTCAAGTGCCAAGATCTGGAAGTCAGATAAAGAACAGCCAGCTGCAGGATCGAGAGCAAGCAAAAGCCAGTGAGCCTTGCCAAAAAGTCCACCTATACTGGATGCAGGCCACAGCCCCAGGGAAACTCCCTTTCAACTGATGGCCACTCACAACAGATCTCATTATGGAGATGATTCCATCATTAGAAAGCTGCCAAACTACATCACAACTGCCAAACCAGGAGGATCACGACCCAGGCCAGCTGACACAACCTTAACCGTCACAGGGTCTAACACCAAAACAAAATACTAGCAGTTTCTTCCTACTAATACACTTATTTTAATTCAGTAATTTTTTTGCTTCTCATTTAGTAAAAGTTACAACCTGCAGGACAGCTTCCTCCTTAGGCAGCAAGCTCCTGGAGTGCAGGGACTGTGTCCGTCCTCTAAGTAACTCCTGCGTACTACAGGTAGACAGCTGGTCAGCAATAATAATGATAAACTAAACCAAGAGGAAACAAAGTCATGCTGTGTCCTGAATAATGCCTATCTACTTCCTTTCTGTTACATTTTTATTTTATTTCAAATGGCACAGGAATCATCTTCGATTTCTATTAAAACAAAACCAAACACTATTATGTGTTTAGGTCCATGCTGCTTCCAGGTCTCCAGGGCAAAAGGGCTTCACAGGTCATCTGCCTTCCCTGTTCTTTCCTCTCCTTCTCCTAGGGGCTCCCAGAACACCATTTAAAGGGCTACACGAATAAATATATTCATGCAGAATTCAACTTTGATATTTTGGGAAATGTTTTATTTACTTTTGTAAAATCTAGTGAAAAGAATACATTAATACACATATTAATACATATATTACCCTCACTTTACTTAGTCTTAAATTTAAATACAGATTTATATCCTTATCAGTTAGATATAAATATTATTTAAATTTAAGGCTAAGTAAAGTGAGGGTACAATAGCCCAATTCTTGGCTTAAAAAAAAAAGTCCCTGCCACTACAGGTTCCAGGGCTTACTAGACAGCGTCATGGCCTGACCACTGGCATTCAATGGACATGAGAACACAGTTCCCTTCAACTCTCCAATGGCTTTCAAGTCCAGAACGTCTTTCAGTCCTTGTCTTGCTTATCTGTTGATGAAGGGTTTCTAGGAAGGTTTAACAGTGCTTCAATTTTCTTAGCATCATCCTCAGATCGATTTTTCTGTAAGCTACTTTCAATCTCTTCAGGGAGTAACTCAGTCATTTGTAGTCTAGCTTTCCTGTAATCAAAGGACGAAAAGGACATATCAAGTACTGTTCCATTTCTTTAGTTCTTACAGAGATTTAAAACAAAAAAAAGATAGCATTCTCACTCTCCCTGCTTCAGTTTGACAACTCATAAGCAAATACTGCTACTTGTACTTTAAATACTTGACTTTCTTCTCTCTCCTAACCTGTTCCGGCTCTGATCCCTAAGATACTCCAGGATGCTGGTTCCTAGAGTTAGGGGTGACGTGAGGGAGCTGAAGCACCCTGCACTGAGGTGTGAGCCTCCCTGCCTGGCTTTCTCTTGCCCTGAGGGCCAGGGAAATATGACTACACTGCCTGTTAAATTTTCTGTTGGCAGGCCTTGTGGGAACTGGACAAAGGCTATATAAATGGAAATCTAGGTAGGAAAAAGACATACAGGACAGCACTACAGATGTATACTGTATTTATGAAGAGTTAAAATATAATTTCCAAACAATGTTGCTGTTGTTAAGTGCTGTCAAATCAGCACCGAATCACAGTGACCCTATGTGCGACAGAATGAAACACTGCTCGGTCCTACGTCGTCCTCATAACCGTTGCCATGTTTGATCCCACTGTTGCAGCCACTGTGTCAATCCACGTTATTGAGGGTCTTCCCTCTTTTTTGTGGACCCTTTACTTACCAAGCACAATGTCCTTCTCCAGGGATTGGTCCCTCCAGATAATATACCGGTTCTTCTCCTAGAGTTATTAGCATTTGTGGCACAGTGGTTAAAAGCTACAGCTACTAACCAAAAGGTCGACAGTTCGAATCCACCAGCCGTTCCTTGGAAACCCTATGAGGTGGTTCTACTCTGTCCTGTAGGGTCACTATGAGTCAGAACAACTCAACAGCAATGGGTTTGGTTTCTTTAAATGATTATCAGGAACATCTATAACTTTCTTCTCAACTCTTCACAACCAGATTTGACTATTTCTTCTTCCATATCTCTACTGCCAGTTCTTTATATTTTCTGCTCAATAAGGCAATTTTTTAGACTCTCATTTCTTCTGATTTCCTTAGTTACTCCTAAGCAAAGAAGCAGACATAGAACCATTTACTGAATTAACTAACCTCAGCAGTATCACACACAGACAGACACATTCTTGACGCTATTTCCTTCTGCCGACCAAAGTATTCTTTCATTATTATAATTCAAGTTATTGTTCTTAACCATTCTCAAGGTTTTCCATTTCTAACTAACTGATCAACTTCTTCAGTTTTTCTGGGTTCCTTTTCTTTTTAATTGAAATATAGTTATTATTTGTATTTTTCCAAATGTTAATTGTTCCTTAACTTCCTATATCACATTCAAATATCCAATATATTTTCCTTACTTTTCCAAACCCTTTCTCAAAACTTTTTAAAAAAGAAGTCTCTTATGTCACCTGGAGAACTAGAAATATGCTAATACCTTCATGCTTTTAATTCTCCATAATACCAAATTTTATGCTGGCATTAAGAATTTTAAGTGCTTCATCCTACAATCTAGATATTTGCATATCCCACCCACCTTTTACCACCTGGCAGAGGAAGGAATGAAACAAGCATATAATTGAGTACTGTGGTACGACTCTGCCCTCAGAGTGGCCAAGAAAACCGAAAGCTTGAAGTTAAAGAACACATCTAAGGACAGAGAAATAATTAATAGCATAGCTGGGATTTAAAGCTAGATTTTAAGGTTTCATTTACTCCAAAATCAATGCTCTTTCTCCTATAGAACTTAGGTCCTTGGACAGCAGACCTATAAATATTAAGAATTTCATGAGAGAGAACGTGTGTATGTGTGTTTAGTACAAATGGAGGTTTCAGATAAAAACACTGGAAAAAAATGACTGCTCATCTATTTAACTTCCAAGGCAGCAGCAGCAGACGTCATCTGCTGGAGCCCCACCAGGATCTCATGATCTAAGAAAAATCCCCTCTTACTTCGGTAAGGGGAGGGGAAAAGTAACTATTCTGAAATGCCCAGAGCACTCTGTTCTCCTTAACAATGACTATTTCACCAGAGTCTGATCAACTCGGGTTTCATCAGAGCCAAACCAACCTGGAGGACTGGGGGAAGGGAAATACCCAGCTCAGCCCCATCTACCCATTAATGTGATGGAACGGAAATACCCAACTCTGTCCTCTCTAGTCTCCCTGTCTCACCTAAGGGGTGATTAAAAAAAAAAAGCTGAAAAGCACTATGAAGTCCACAGCCCAGGGGCAGAGGCTCACTAAGAGAGTGAAACCTAACTCACAGGATTATAGAATAGTTCCCTGATCCCCTATGCCTTACTGCCGCATCAACAGGGCTCCTGTATAATAACAGGGGATTACAACTGAGAAAACTGTGAGACTCAGACCTTACTTTAAAAGTTGTCCCTAGGGAAACCCAAAGACAACCAAAAAAACAAAACACCAAACCCACTGCCCTCGAGTCGATTCCAACTCATAGCAACCCTATAGGACAGACTACAACTGCCCCATAGGGTTTCCAAGCAGCGGCTGGTAGATTCGAACTGCCGACCTTTTGGTTGGCAGCCAAACTCTCAACCACTGTGCCACCAGCGCTGCATAAGGGCCACAGAGGAGACAAAGACAGGAATACCCGGGGAAATCTCAGCCTCTGACAGCCACGTCTACAGCAAACGAGACACAGCCTCACCTCTAGACAGACAAACGTAAAACTTCACACCGAAGGCCTGCTCATCTCAGACAAACGTAAAACTTCACACCGAAGGCCTG